GGGTGGACGTCTCAACCGCTGTGTTTTCCCACCTATCCATGAATATATCTGCTACGATAGAAGATATTGGTGACCCCATGGTAACTCCTTCAGTTTGTTTGTATATTTTCCCTTGGAACTTAAATACTATGTAATTACACACAACACAGCCATAGAGTAGGATGAATGGGATAGGATGACACTTTTAAAATCTAATGTCACAGGGTGGAGGGAGAGATTGATAACAGAAGCTTTGTTAATCGAATCAACTGCAAATACGTGTAATAGGAATGATTCAACACCTGTCCATTCGGATATCTGGAAAATTCTACAACCTCTACGACGACAAATAGGAGAGGAGAAAAAAAACTATAAAACTGAAGTTTCGAAGTCGTGTGATTATAATTGATGACATGATTATGAACAATAAATAAATTGTGTTCGAAAAGTTGCCATCCAGTAAATAGTACTGTTTCTTCACTGTGTGATACATCTTATAAACAAACCAATATGGAATTACTTTCATCCTTTCACGCCCTAATTTGTGATTTCAAATGAATGCATTGCAACGGCTGATTCTACTTTTCCAGATCTAGATCTGGCTAACTTCTCAAGTTCTGATAATTTGTTTGACCCCGATCTACTAGTTTGACCTGTGCAATCTGACCTCACAATCATTGGATAGCATTTAGTGAATTATACATACCTTTTTTCTCATTGGAACTATCACGTCATTGATAGGATCCAGCATAAAATAGTAAGTATATCATCCTTTCTCACGAGTCGTATGATTTATCATGTGATGAAGTTACTATGTTAAGAATGTATCATTTCTCACGCATACCTTGTGATTTATTGTGCGTGTGTGTGTGATCAATTCGTCGTCTTTTGTCTCACCTTAATCATTGTCGGATCATCAACCAATCAGAATAGACACATATTTCCAGCCAATAAGAATAGTCCATTCTCAAGGTTATGAGTCAACTGTATTGGGATGAAATAAATATATAAATATGATATTTTGATGCCTGATAAAGTGTATGAAATATATAGTCACAGACCGGCCTTTGTCTTTTATTGTTTGCATGGTTCAGTGAATCGGAAGGTACAACGGACAAATAGGCAGAATAGCGTACCAGTTTGAATTCATTACCGTTATAGTAATTAACAAGCGCAGATATAACAAATCGGCAACGGATCGGTTCCGTTCAGTCATAACAGTCCTCGAAATGAAAAACTTTATCTCTGAGAGAGATGGTTGGCTGATTTAAACGACACTTTAGTTCCAGCCTCATTAAGAATCCTACGTAGGGCTTCTGATGTTCCCGATTTACATGACAGTACTATCCAAGCTTTGAATTCTGTACTATTTATGTTTTGTTTTCATTAATTTCATTGTAACCATAGGTGACAAGAGACTTGGTAGAGGAATGTTTTCAAGCATTGGTTTTGTAGGGATTTCTTGTTTGATTGGATGGTGGATTTCATCATTAGCTGACATCAGTTAGAGAAACACTGGAAAGCCAGCGGGGAGTACTGGACAGCCGTTTCCTCCATCCTAGTTTGGGACTCTTCATCATCAGTACGCATCCACCGCCAGGGTTTGAACCCAAGACATTCTGGTTACAAGGCAAGCTCGCAGACCATTGAGGCACTGAAACTCAATCTATTGGACTATGAATTCTAACTTCTGCCAATTCACTGCAAAACGTGACCATTTCGCAATGTCTTCTTCGATGAGTTACTGTCTCATCTTCAACCTTCTACGAGTTCGCCTTGTAACCAGAATGTTCTGGGTTCGAACCCTGGCTGACGGAGGAAACAACTGTCCAGTACTCCCTGCAGGTGCTCCAATGCTTCTCTAACTGATGTCAGCTAATGATGAAATCCTCCATCCAATCAAAGGAATGTTTATTTGCAATTTGGTGTCTCTAAATCAGCGAAATTATGTACACCTTATCTTCAACGCACCATTTGCGGAGGGATTCCGTCGTGATGTTCTACTTCTGCCCTTCCTTCATCTTGTGTCTCTTTGTCTTATTTTTTGTGTCTGTCATGTTTTTCCGCAACACTGGTTCATTTTCTCTCTCTCTCTTTCTCTCTTTGACGTTGAATCTATCTACTACTCGCTATTTGATATTTTTATGCTGATGAACATCTCTTTATATACTACTAAATAAGTTTTATCAGTAGCACACGCTACGCCATTATTACACTCTACCACAAAATTTGTTTGTAACTAGGGTGGGGGGCGGCTATTGGTGATCTCATTGCCACCTCATTTGTTTGATTGTGTTGTGATATGACTGTGAGTAGCAAAAATGTGCTCAAAATGTCATTTATTGCTTAATACTTTTCTCATGTGTGTTATTTCGAATAAACTTATCTAATGTGGAATTACATTCTACACTTACATTACTAACTCCATTTGTTTGTTTGTTTGTATATTTAACTTTGGGATTTGAATACAGTGAAATTTAGGGATGATTGTACACCTGTTATTTCATCAACCAACAGCTTTGGTCTGTTCATGAGGTAAGGATCAGTGTCCAGTTCTCATTGCTAACTGCCTCTGGATCTGAATTTATTCGGTGTCTTTTTTATTCCTTTACGTTTCCAGTGGAACATAGGGCGGCTTCAAGCTAGAGGCTTGAAGTTTCGCTGGTAGTGGTGTTCATTTTTACAGGATGAGGTTGCTAGCCTATGCCCAACCTTCCCTCTTTACCAGTCTTATTAAGGGCTTAGCGAGGTGAAGGAGTGCATCAGTGGTCAGGGATCTAACCCGGAATCATATGGGTGGTTGGTGAGTATTCTACTGTTGTGCCACCGACGCACATTCATTCGGATGTTGATGCATAAACGCTGATCCTATATATTTTATTAAACACACTCATTCAAAAGCCTGATGAGAATTCCCCGAAAGCACATATTTGCTTAAATGGTATTCTATAAACTTCAAGCATCAAAAATAATTATTTTTAAATCTTTTTCTGTTTGAACATTATCTAACTTTCGTTTCATTACGTATGAATTAGTTAACCTAGAGAAGGCATTCGACAGCGCAGCGTCAATCGAGAGGTGATTTGGAAACTACTTCGCCACTACGGGGTCCCATCGACAATTATACATCTCATCCAACAGTTATACGACAATAATGCCTGCAAAGTAATCCACTACGGGAAACTTACAGAAGACTTCGAAGTGAGGACGGGTTGAGGCAAGGCTGCCTACTATCACCAATGATCTTCCTGATTGCAGTAGATTGGATAGTGCGACAGACACAGAGCGGGTAACGAGGAAACAGGCATAAAATGGACTCACACAAAAAAGTACTTGGAGGATCTGGACTTCGCCAATGATGACGTATGTCTGATTTCCCACAAACTGGAAGATATGCAAGTGAAAAGCAACAAGTTGTCAGAAGAAGCATCCAGAGGAGATAGGAGGGACTTCAGGTGAACATAGATAAAACAGAGTTAGGTGATGAAGATTCCTGGCCAACACCAACATCAACAACAACAACAGACAACAATCAGCCAGTATAAATGGGAGGAACCTGAAAGAAACAACCTCCTACCTGGCACATCACTGCTTATGAAGAATAAATTTATTGGTGTTCGTTTTTTTATGAGCCATTTTAACGTCAGTATGAAAAATGATTGCTTAGTAATCGGTATATTACCGGAAAAATTGACCTCCTGTAGGACTGCAGTAGGTATTTTGATTGGACACTAGTAACTAGTGCGAAACCAAGGTGTGTCCAAGGCTTCCTGTGGCCGATTGCCTCCAACTGTCTAATATCATCAAATCAATGTGCACCGTGATTGTGAGCTTTCTAGAATGGTGGCCACATTGCAAACCTGACTGACTGATAGAATTCAGTCTGCACCAAAGAAGGGAGTAGACACGTTGCACTGCCTACTAGTGTCCAATCAAAATATCATCGTGTTTACCTAAATCATAAAATTCCTTAACACTATTCTTCGAAAATTGCTGACACCGTCTATTTCAAAAATAGTCCATTACAAGGAGAATTCAACAGAAAAGTAAATGGTTGAAATCTTGTTGACAGTGTTTTATTTTATTAAACATTACGCTCTTGTTCTCCTCGGTGCGTTTTATACTACGACAGATCCAACTTATTGTCCTTTGATTAGGATTTTTCTTGTGATATTGACTCCATCCCTGAAGGGGACAAGTAAAAAAAACACAATATTCTAAAGCCCCGAGCTATTTAATGCCCCCCCTAATTGATGTCGGTTCATGTTATGGTCTACAATGAATACAGATCAGAATCCCCCACATGTATTCAAAACAATGTTTAAAAATTCAGTAAATAAGAGTGATAGTTAATAACTTGAATCACCTGCATTCTCCAGTGATAGATAATATTCCCACTGAGGCTCGAACCCAGTACCCGTCGTTTCAAATGCCTAAGAACTACTCAATCAACCACTTGGATCACAATAGTCATCTCTTGTGCAATGAGTGTCAGCTATTATTTCTTTTGATATTCCTGTTGGACAAATCGACCGAAATGTTCAGCTTTAGCGTTGACAACGATGACTACTGGATTCTAGCCTCACGAGGAACACTATCATCCCTGAACATTATCAAAGCGTCTGCACAAAGAGCCAACATGTCAATAGAAGCCGAAAAAATTCTCTCCAATCAATAATCCGCGGGGAGAATAAGTCATATTAGTGGAAGGTAATTTTATCAGCAATGTAGGTAAGATTTTCATTTCATGTTATTCCAGTTATTTGACTATTTGAATCACCATTATTTTTAATTCTTTTATGATGTTTCAGTGTTTAGAAATATTCTCTACTTCTCTCTCACCCTCTCTCTCTAACCTGGAAGGCAAGATCTTTTGAAAAACTTCATCATATTATCTCTGTAACTGAATAATTATGACTACAATTATGGGATTATTTTTATATTTAAAGGAGCTGATAATTCTAACCAGTGATGTAATGCTTAGCATTATTTATGATTGCTATGAAACACTGAAATTGTACATGTCCCCTGTTTACAAGGATATCAGTGATGATGTTATATTAATTACAGGTGAGTAATTTATCTAACTAAAGATGCTTATTAAGACATTTACAAGACTGATATCAGGGAGCAAAGAGTATATTCTTTTCGACAAATTTGTCATCAGATCCTGCATTTATACAACCATTATAATCAGAGAAATATTGTTTTAATAAGAACATTAATGCTGTTTTAAATTACACTGAATCAACAGTATCCATAGATTATATTTCAAGAGCATCTGTAAGTGATAATATAACCGGCGAAGAGTCCCAAACTAGGCTGACGAAACAGCTGTCCAATCTGAGCGTTTCGCTTTTTGCAGCAAATTAGACAGTTTCAGGTGGAAGTCATCCTTTAGTTCATTCGAACTGCAGTCTGTTGGGGCGTAGGTGGAGACTACGAAAAGGCAACGACGGATAGCGCCATATTTCCTTCTTTTAACGGACCCATTCAGACGGACCGCACACATACGACTATCTACTGGGATCCAGTCGAGAAGTGATTCTTCCTCCCTAACACTTAGCGCTATCCCTACACCTGTGAGTCCTCGCGAGCTAGCTGAGGGGTCTCCTGACACCCTTAAAGTGAATTTTGTAGATTCACCTTGTTTACCGGGGAGGTTAAATGAATGGCCACACTCGGGTCTTGTATGCGTATCTCCAAAACACAACATACATCCATGACTCAAGTTGCCAGAGTTCTTGCTAGTGATGCTTGTTGTCCGATTTGGCAGAGGGTTCTGACGTTAAATGCCCCTATATGAAGTTGGTGACGTAGCTTTAAAAGGCTGTCTGGGTGTTTCTATGGCTCTCATCGTTGTTCGCGGTCACAGAGTGAAGTGAAGATGACTCATTAGCCTGCAGAATAGTACTAACTGTAGTAGAGAAGCAAGATGAGGAAGGTGATTTGAGTGAAGGGGAATGATGCTGAGGAAGGCTTCTTGTGCTTTTGGAAGTGTGTGGGCGGTTGTTACTTCCCGGCTGCCCACACCGTGGAAGTTGATTGGTTCTTTGGGAAATTGAAACAGAAAGAGAGTTGCGTGACCGCAGAACCCAGGAGAGGCCGGTCACACGCGGTCTGTTTTTGTTTGTTCTTTATTGTTTGGTATGTCTCAGTAGCATATTTATTTATCACTTCTGCCCTGTAACACGACAGCAGGAAGCGCGATCGTTGTTAATCCAGGCCCCGACCGATCCGGCATGATATTTTGTGATTTTGTTTCAGTCCTAGTGTAACAACAGAAGACAAGGGCGAAGCAACAGATCGTTTTATTATGAAAATCAACACGTATTTATATATATTTCACATACATTATGATAGCTTATGCAAGTAGAAAAAGCGCAGTCATCTGATTGGTTGCAGACAAACGCAGGCTTCTGATTGGTTGTTTCGGGATTCCTTGACAAATATAGTTCTCTATCTGCGAATCATATTTTGCCACGTTAACTTTGCTGTGATTGGTTGTTGAATCAGCCTTGTTCATATTTTCTCACGGCCCATATTAGTGACCTAGACATTAACGTAGATTAGTGTCAACCAATCGGCTAGCAGCCTGCTCTCACCACTAGCACTGGATTGGGTAGCTGCTTTTTGTTTAACCGCTATCCAAACAACCTTTCCGGCATGGTCTCAGCCAGTTTGGCTTGTTGGGTCATTGCGGTGTTCAAGCTGTCCAATACTTCCCACTTTTTTGTTAGTGGTTCTCTAGCTGACGTCAGCTCATGATGACATCCTGCAACCAATCAAACAAGAAAAAAAATAGCAATAAAGTGAATATCAAAGAAATTAATGGAAGTAATACAGAATTTATGAATTTATAGGTGTTCCTACAGTAGGTCAAGGTGGCAACACTGGCTGAATCTGTTAATTTTGCACATATAACTCCGGTTATTATTATTATTGTATCCTTTAGTTCCTAGAGGAACATAGGGCTTCAGCTGCGCACCTCCATTGCCTTCGGTTTTCTGACAACTTTTTCACCCTGCTCCAGGTCTGTCCACATGCTTTCATCTCCTCCTCGCATGACCTCCTCCAAGTCACCCTTGCACTGACGACCAACTCGCTGCTTCCCTTTCGGGTTCCACTCGAGGGCTTGTCTAGTGATGTCACTTGATGGTTTCCTCAGAGTATGGCCGGCCAATCCATCTCCATTTCTTTCTGCCTATTGTTTCACAATCGGTTCCTGATTGGTTCGCTCCCAGAGATCCCTGTTGCTGATCTTTTCTGGCCGGCCATCTGATCTTGAGTATTGAGCGGAGACAGTTGTTAATGAAGGTTTGAAGTTCGTTTGAGATGCTCTTCATGACTCGCCAAGTCTCTGATCCGTATAGTAGCACTGACTTCACATTAGAGTTGAAAATCCGGGTGTTACTTTTGATTCTGAGTAGTGGCTGTTGACCTCCACACAGATTTGAGAGTAATGAACGCTTGTCTTTCTTTTCCGATTCTGGCTTTGATGTCCTCGTCAGTTCCACCTGTAGTTGAGACGATGCTTCCCAGGTAGGTGAAGGAGGTTGTTTCTTTCAGGTTCTTCCTACTTATGCTGATTGTTGTCTGTTGTTGTTGTTGTTGCTGTTGGCTAGGAATCTTCATCATCTCTGTTTTATCTATGTCCACCTGAAGTCCCTCCTATCTTCTCTGGATGCTTCTTCTGCCAACTTGTTGCTTTTCACTTGCATATCTTCCAGTTTATGGGAAATCAGACATATATCATCGGCGAAATCCAGATCCTCCAAGTCTTTTGTGTCAGTCCATTTTATGCCTGTTCCGGTTACTTTAAGCGAATTGCAGTAGCCTCTGCTATTTGGATTATTCAGTATTTAATTTATTTGATGTGCTGCAGATGACAGAGGAAGACTCTTCATTGTCAGCTTCATAATAATAATAATAATAATTTTTTGCTTTATTCCAAAAACAGTACTAATGATACAGCAAAGAGTTTTCAGCATTCAGTACAATATATTGCATCTAATTTACTCAAAACGACAAAAAATAAACATTAAATAATAGTAATAATAACAAAACGTCTGTATAGCAGCTATGTAGCAAGCCAGTATGCGATAAGAAGAAAAATATGTATACAGTATAAAAATTGTAGTAATAATAGTAATAACAACTAAAATAAAATAGCAAAGTTATAATTAAACGATAGAAAGGTGGCAACATAAAAATTACAGAAAGATGAACGATGAAAGGGTCGATTCACTTTGCTAATTTACATTAGTAACTTCTTGTATGTTTCACGTCTAACAGTGTCATCATCTTAATATCTTAATGACGTTACTTATTTTCTGTTTGTTATTCCATGTATATATATAGGTGCAGGGAATGGAATTGGTCGTGAAATGTGTCTAGAATTTGCTAAATACAGTTCAAATATACTAGCTCTCGATATAGACGAAAAAGGTCTTCAGGAAACTGCTGTTTATGTGAAAAGTGGAAGAGGTGTACAAATTAAACCATACCTATGTGATTTAAGGTAAATAAATACTTTTTTTTAAAAATTATTTTAACATTGAAAGGAGAATATATTCACACAGAGAAAATTGGCTGTTTCCAATGTATTCATTGTTATCAAGTTGTACATACATATGAAAGTTTTGATAGTTTGAACTGAGTTCACGAAACACGGTTATTCATGTCCCTGGCTATGAGTCACACTTACTGTATGAAAGCTGATAATGCTATCTATGCAACTGTCCAGCTCAAGCAGATGAAGAGGGAATCAAACCCAAGATCCCCTGGTTGGAAGGAAAAATTCAGCTTTTGTTCGGTGAAGAAATATCTCTTTTGAACAATTTCATTTCAAGCTGTGCAGTCGTATTCATATTACGGAAGAAGGAATTAAAGGGCAATAGAAACTGCTCAGTCAGTATACATATGTTAAGAATGATACATGTGTAAAACTTGGGCACTGTGATAGTAAGTAATTCCATATTAGTTTCAGGATTTTGTCATAAGCTGACATTGGTTAGAGAACCATGGGAAAACCTTGGAGTACTGTACAGCTGTTTCGCCGTAGTTTGAGATTCTTCAGCGGTACGCACCCACGGGTGTTATCAATCAATCAAATCCCTACACACCGACACTTGAATACTGATGAGATTCTCACTGGTGACTTGTCCTATTCAGGTAGGTAGTTACCTGGGGTTCTAGTGGGAAGTCGTGACCAGTAGGATGCAGCACGTTGGGTGTGAAGACAAATACTCACCGAAGACATTGGCTAGCGGTTGAGCTATATCATGAATTGGCAGAAGTTAGAATTCATGGGTTAACCACTGGATCGGATCCCAGTGACTTAATGGTTACGAGCTCGACTTGTAACCAGAAGGTCCTGGGTCCGAACCCCGCTGCGTGCGCACTGATGAAGAGTCCCAAACTGGGACGAAACAGCCGTACAGTACTCCCCTGTGGTTTTCCCATGGTTCTCTAACTAATGCCACCTCATGATGAAATCCTGTAACCAACCAATCAAATCCCTACAAACCAACACATGAATTCCATATTAGTTTGTTTATTACATGTATCACACAGCACTACGTGCAATTACACACAACCACGTAATAGGAAGTTGATGGGATAAAATGACATCTTTAAAATCTAAAGTCACAGAGTGGAGGGAGAGATTGATAAGAGAAGCTTTGTTTATCGATTCAGCTGCAAACACGTGTATTAGGAATGATTCAACACCTGTCCATTCGGATATCTGGAAAATTCTACCACCCCTATGACGACAAATAGGAGAGGACAAAGAAAACTATAAAACTCAAGTATCGAAGTTGTGTGATTATAACTGATATGATTCTGAACAATAAATTTTGTTCAAAACGTTGTCATCCAGTAAAAAAAATACCGTTTCACTGTGTAACACATCTAATGAATAAACTAATATGGAAGTAATTAAAATGATGTTTTTAAAGGGAACAGCTGACGTGGATGAATTACAAAGCTTTTAAAGATTACTAAATAAGGGAACTAGTATAAATATTTTAAGATTGTAGGTCAAGTGTTGTCTAAAACATAAGGAGTACGATGACGATAACAATGAAGACGGCAAGGGTGAAATGAAATGGAATGAATTCAAGTTGTATAATAAAAAATAAAACAAAAGAACATTACTGTGACCAAAGTAAAGAGAGGGGTTAACAAAACGTTTCTGAACATATTATATAGGCTTCTGTCCATATATAGTTAGAGCTTCGGAGATGCACAAGTGGAGGAAACATAAGCTTTTTGAGTTGTTGGATTTGGTCATGTAGATGACTTGAAAGGATAAATCACGTGAAGCTGAATGACCTGTCTCCATAAGGTGTTCACATATTTAGGACTTCGTCGTCCTATAGTTCACCTTTCATTAACCAACTAGTGTTCAGCTACGCATTTATGAAGAAGGCGCTTACATTATCCGATGTAATCAGCTCCACAGGAGCATTTGAATCAGCATATACACATAAAGGTGGACATATTATTATCATTGTTCCCTTGAGTTCCTAGTGGAATATAGGGCTTAAACTGCACGTCTCCACTTGTCACTTCTGTCTTGCTTCTGCTATACTTTTCACCTGCACACATCCATGTTAGTCCATACTGTTTCAACTCCTCTTCACACGATCGCCTCCATGTCACCCTTGCACTGACGTCCAACTCGCCGCTTCCCTTTCGGCTTGGTTCCACTCGAGCAATGGCCTGACGCGCGCACGATGTCACTCAGCGGCCTCCCAGCGAGCGAGTGTCCAATCCATCCAACTCCACTTTCTCCTGCATATTTGTTGGTTGGCGATTGGTTCTTGTTTTGTTTGTTTGTTCCCAGCCATAGTTTCTTGTTGGTGATTCTTTCCGGCCCGGCCGGCCATCTGATCTTCAGTATAGAACCAGCGAAGACAGTTGTTGATAAAGGTCTGCAACATAAAAGGGAATTTATTCTTCACGTAGTGTCGAATCATATTTTGGCTGGTAAATACTAAATGTAAATCAGTTGCATAAAAAGATCGTTTAATACATTTAGGTAAACGATTTTTAATTACTTCAGCGATAGTGTCACCTTTGAACGCCAAGCTCATAACCAGCGTCTTATTTGTCACTATGATTTGGCTGTGGACAGTTTCCTCCTTGATGTTTCTGTCAATAAAAATTTTAGGATATCCATTACTTAAGAGATTTCTGCGAAAGTTGAACGCCTAAGCCGGAGAGCCACGTCTCCACGTCTACATTTAAGATAACTGTAACGCATGTGAAAATTTAAACAATGAATGTCTGTAGAATTATTAATGATGTCGTTTCTTAATTATAACTCATTTATTTGTAACAGTAATTTCAGTTAAACAATGAATGGCTATAAAGTAGATTACGTGTTGTATAAAATCATTCATAGTATGTATAAATCTCAGAAAATATTGTGTGTGGTGGTTAATAAGGTTACTAGTTAAGCAGAACATTTCTTAACATGATAAAACAGTTTGTTTGAAACAGAATGTTCTTTTGCCTCAGAAAAATGAATTAGTACAGACGGGTAATCTAAATGACGAGGATATCAAAGCAGCGAAAATCGGAAAAGCAAGACAAGCGTTCATTACTCTCAAGTCTGTGTGGAGATCAACAGCCACAACTCAGCATCAAAAATAACATCCGGATTTTCAACTCCAATGTGAATTCAGTCAGTGCTACTCACTATACGGATGGATCAGAGACTTGGCCAGAGCGTCATAAAGAGCATCTCAAACAAACTACAGACCTTCATTAACAGTTGTCTTCACTAAATACTCAAGACCAGATGGCCGGCCAGAAAAGATCAGGAACAAAGATCTCTGGCAATGAGCGAACCAACCCCAGGAACCGATTGTGAAACAAATAGGCAGGAAGAAATGGAGATGGATTGGCCATACTCTGAGAGAACAAAACATCAAGTGACATCACTAGACAAGCTGTCGCTCGAGTGGAACCAGGCCGAAAGGGAAGCGGCGAGTTGGTCGTCAGTGTGAGGGTGGGGTGACTTGGAGGAAGTCATGTGAAGGGGAGATGAGAGCATGTGGGCAGACTTAGAGCGGGGTGAAAAAGTTGACAGAGAACCGAACGCAATGGAGACGCGCAGCCCTATGTTCCTCAAGGAATTAAAGGAAATAATATTAATTAAATAATAATAAATGACTCTGGAAGTTGCTTAAATTTCATGAAACGGTGAAGCAAATTTATAACTGAGTTGGATGTTTTTTGACGTTGTTATTCCTCCCGAAGCTGGATAGTTTGTAAATGTAACTTTTCATCGAATTTGGTGCGCTGTTGTTGTCGTCGTCAAGAAAACAAACAATAATTATTTTAAAATATCAGCTCTTTTCTGGAAATTATGTTTACACGCAATACAGAATTCTTCACCTATTTTCTTGCAAAATATTTACTTCCCGTATAGAATTTTCCAGTAAAATATTCATCGTATGACACAACGTCGCATTCTATCTGAAACATCACTCGACTTTCCATGACATTTTTTTGTCCAATATTTTCTTTATGAAGTGCACTTACTACACAGTGACAGGTTGGGAGTCAGTTAAACGTTTGCGGTTTGAGTTCATGTTAGAATCCAGAGACACAATTCGAGGCTTAAAACAACAAGAATCGCAGAAAAGTAGAGGTATTATTCTGAATAGGAAGTTAGACAGCACAGTGGTGGGGTCTCAATCATAAGCATAGAGCTTCAACACCAAATCTCTATTTCACCCTGTTTCCTGCAATCGCCTTTCTCTGGATCCAAGATTGCTCGTAAGCTCTCATCTCCCAATGCTCCTCCTCTTCCTCACATGGTCTCATTGTTGAATATGGATGCTCATTCGGATTCTACTCTAGTGACAGCCTGGAGAACAATGTCTTTCAACGGTCTCCTTGATGTGTATCTCATGTTTGTTGGTCAAAAGATTCTTGTTTGGTTTGTCCCTTGCTGCTAATCCTTCTTGGCCGTCCATCTGACCTACAGGATGGACCAAAGTATGAAGCTGTTGATAAAAGTCTGCAATAACCTTTTCGAACCCTTCTAGTGACACGTCAAATCCCTGACACTGGTGTTCAAAGTCTGAATCTTGTTCTTTATGTTGAGTGCAGTAGATTTCTGCAATGATTTCAGATCAATGAAGGTCATATTCCTGTTTTCACGTTCCTGCTTTTGCCATCGCCATCCGTGTCGCGCGTATTTAAAACGTTGCTGCCTATTCAAATAGAAGAAGTGATTTTCCTTGAGACATTTACTGCTGATGGTGACTGGTGCTTGCTGTTATTGTTGTTTTTGTTGGTTAGGTATATTCAAAGTCTCTGAATTCTCTGTGTTCACTTGAAGTCATATCTACACTGCTCCTTCTTCCAGCTTGTTGGTTTACACCTGTAAAGCCTCAGGTTTGTGTGACCTTAGACATAAATCATCATTCACGAAGTCCAAATCTTCTACTGTCTTTCTGTCGTTTCAACGTATGCCATTCTTCCCGTGCTCCACCATCTGTGATATGATCCACTCCCCTGTGGTCATCAACATCAAAGTTGATAGTAGACAGTCTTTTTTTATACCTATCTTCACTTAAAAGGCTTCGTTGAGTTTGTCGCTGTGAGTCACAGTAGTGTTAACAAAGGGGGGGGGTGAACAGACTGGTCTAACAAAGTAAAACCATGACTGCATCTTTCCTCTCGGTGCTCATAAGACTAAGGTAAACAGACGCACTATACATACTCCGTTTGATACACATGGCTTCAGCTGTTTTAAGAAGCCGAAAATGAAGCAAAATACTGCAGGTTCGTCCGTGAATTCGATAAATCATTTTCTAGATTGATTGATTGATAGGTTGAAGTTGATCAAATATTCCAGAACAGAACTTCTTCGTAGGAAGGTCTGTTGTTATTGCAAAAGTTTCAAATTAAATTATGGCTATATATGAAACATAATCCAAACAATTTAATTTAATTTGAGCACTTTCCCGTCGATTGACTGGACCGAAGTGCTTGGTCTCAGGTTGACATGTTGGCTTCTTGTGCAGATGCTTCGACGATATCTGGGCATTTAATTAGAATGTAACCAGTTGTTGGTGACTAGCGGTGGAATCCAGGACGCGCATTTCGTCCTGTTTGGGACTCGTCATCAAGATGTACCTGCATTTCCCGATGAGCGATGATGTCCCCACCGAGGCTCGAACTCAGTGCCCGTAGTTTCGAACGCCAAAGCGTTATCCACTTGACCACTTGTGCCATGAGATCCACCTCTTGTGCAACGGGTCATATTAATTTTATTGAATTTGGGTGGGAACATCATCACTCACTGGGAAATGCAGGTACGTCCGGCTGACGAGTCCCAAACAGGACGAAATGCGCATCCTGGATCCCACTGCTAGTCACCATCCCCCAGTTAAATTATCCAAACAAACTAATTCATTTTGTTTTATTCTTATACAAAAAGTTCGCCAGCAGACATCGATCGTATTGTCAATGAAATTCTACAAGATTATGGACGGGTTACAATCTTGGTGAATAATGCTGCAATTATCAATTTATTGCCATTGTTACATCTTAGTGTAGACAAATTTGATAAATGCTTCAAAGTCAATTTTTATGCATACTTCTATGTAAGTATAATTTTGTAACCTTTTTTGTTGTTAACTAACCTTGTAATTTTGATGTGGTTGTGTTTTGAGAAGCTTTCATCGCCCTACGTACTAGGCAACATCTTCAGCGCATACTACTTCAATTTGCTGAAGCGAGCTTTTAGATTTCTCCATGAATTTATTAGTCATCTCTCCTGGTGGGTGACCTTGAACGTGATTGGTTGTTTTTGTGTGTTTTCACACCCTCTAGGCAGCTACTTGTATTGGAACTGATCGTTCCCTTGACTTGAACTTTGACCCTTTGTATGTGAGGAAACAATCTGTTCGAAAACAAGTAGCCTAGAGGCTGTGAAAACACATAAAAACAACCAATCACGTTCAGGGTCACCCACCTGGAGAGATGACTAATAAACTCGTGGAGAAATCTAGAAGCTCACTTCAGCAAATTGAAGTGTATGTGCTGAAGATGTTGCTTAATAGGGCAATTAAACCATCCAGCTCAGGGAACACAACCACATCAAAATCATCCACCTGAGGTACAAATCTTCTCTATCATATCTAACCTTGTAATTGATCTTCAAGTCATTAAAAAGCTACATATACACCAACTAGATACTATGCAATAACTGTTATCTATTTCCCTAGTGTTGATGCTGATCAAGATGTTACCAGTAAGGTGTGCAACGCGGCGAACCCAGTAGATGACTCATCATTACTGCAGGTAGGCTTCGAACTATGTTTGGTGCTGAAAAGTTTAGTGGAAAAATCTTGGATTACAGTAATACGTGTTGTGAGTTGTTCGATTCTCGCAAGCAACATCATTTCTTTTAACGTTGTACATACGCTTTGGCGACGTGTACTGTAACGACAGAAGACAAGAGACTTGATAACAGACAGGCTTTTGTTAAAGAAAAACACATCGTATTTATACATTCTTAAACACAATAAAGTTCAGCTAGATCAGAAGGGGAATAAATTGTTCTGAATAGTTTTCAATTGGCCCAAAGTTAAACGATTTGTGTAATCAAGGTATTTCATGTCCACTGGGTAAAATAAATCTACTAGATTTGAAGAATTGACACTACTGCCTCTACAACCGTTGACTTCAATTGTTGATCACAATTTTTGGCCGCTTCCTATCAATCTGTATCCGTCGCAGTACCGGTAAACACGGAATTTCTGTCTATAAACTCCTATGTATACCCTCTAACTATCTTTCAATAAAGCAAACCATTTTTGGCGTTAAACTGGAGGTTAATAAACATAAATGCAGTTAGAGAACGGCAGTGTAACAAGCCAGAGAACTTTTTGTGCAACTGCTCTTTATTTTGACATACTGCATTGGTGTTAACAAGATTAAATTGGTACTTGCTCTGCTTCAAATCACCGAAAATACCCATTGAGTCATGATGAAAATAAAAGAGTTATTCAACAAAGAAAATTTTCTTTATCGACGAAATCATCTTCACAGGCTGGCTGTACAGTCGTATTTATACTTAGAAAAATGTATAGTGGTCTATTATTGAATAATAAAGGGTGACATAATTGATATAATTACTCAGAGGTGGCTTTAGAAGTGAAAATTAAAAGTTGTAAATTACGTAGTACTCAACGGTAAAAAGATAGAAGTTTGATAAGGTTAGAATTTCTACTGAGTCAGAATAAAGATGGTAGTTGACTGTCAATTTAACAAGTGTGAAGAGGGTGTGAAAATATACAAAAGGAGTATATTAGAGTGGTAATAGTGAATTAATTATTAAAGCAAAAGTAAACCAAAAGTCAAATTAAAAAAGGAAAGAAAAAATCAAAATTTTTTACAGGAACGATTAGTGAAGAGGTTAAGACCAAGGTAGAATAAGAGACTGGACAAACTTTTTCTGTATAGAAAGTTCAGGGTTGTATTTATGAACTACCAGTGCCTCCACCATACACAAAAGCCGAAACCTGACGTCCTTTGTACTATTTGGCTTCACTTTGTAGACGCCATTGAGTACTACGTAATTTACAACTTTTAATTTTCACTGCTAAAGCCACTTCTGAGTATTATTATTATTATTGTATCCTTTAGTTCCTAGAGGAACATAGGGCTTCAGCTGAGCACCTCCATTGACTTCGGTTTTCTGACAACTTTTTCACCCTGTTCCAGGTCTGTCCACATGCTTTCATCTCCTCCTCGCATGACCTACTCCAAGTCACCCTTGCAATGACGACCAACTCGCCGCCTCCCTTTCGGGTTCCACTCGAGGGCTTGTCTAGTGATGTCACTTGATGTTTTGTTCTCTCAGAGTATGGCCAATCCATCTCCATTTCTTTCTGCCTATTTGTTTCACAATCGGTTCCTGATTGGTTCGCTCCCAGAGATCCCTGTTGCTGATCTTTTCTGGCCATCTGATCTTGAGTATTGAGCGGAGACAGTTGTTAATGAAGGTTTGAAGTTTGTTTGAGATGCTCTTTATGACTCGACAAGTCTCTGATCCGTATAGTAGCACTGACTGACTTCACATTGGAGTTGAAAATCTGGATCTTATTTTTGATGAATTCTTCGTCTTTCATTGTGTCAGTTCCACTGATTATTACCAATTTAACTTATGCACTAAAGCGTCAGCATAACTTGTCCGCACTTGGCTGCTTTTCGATCCGCGTCAGAGCAATAGATAGAATCTATATGGCAAATGGTTTTAATATGATACAAGGATTGCGGGACTTCTATACTGTAGAGCCTTTTAAGGGTGGAACAGTTTGTTGATAAATCCAGTCTCTGAGAGTTGTTTATTCCGTTAAGTTGAAATGCAAAGAACTGGTACATATCTAGTCAATCGGTTTTTTCTAAAATTCCTTTACGTTCCCAGTGGAACATAGGGCTTCAAGTTAGAGGCTTGAATTTTTTGTAGAAGTGGTGATTATTTTTACAAGTTGGGGTTGCTAGCCTCATATGGCCAACCTTCCCTCTTTACCAGTCTTACTACTGACTTAACGAGGTAAAGGGGTGCGTCAGTGGCCGGGGATTGAATCCCGTACCATTTGCGTAGTCGACGAGCATTCTACCACTATGCCGCTTACATCAATTAGTAGTGCTCGCAAGATCGTAGTGATTTAAGCACACCGGACAGTTGTTTTGCTCGTTCGAAGTCGAACTCATCAGCGACATTCTGCACAAACCACACTGTTGTTCTTCTTTCTTTTCTTTTTTCCTTCACGTTCCACAGTGGAACACAGGGCTTCAAGCTAATGGCTTGAAGTTTCTGTAGCAGTGTTTAGTTTAACAGGATGGGGTTGCTAACCTCATGCCCAACCTTTCTTCTATACCAGCATTATTTCTGGCTTAGCGAGGTAAACGAGTGTGTCACTGGCCGGGGATCGAACCCCGGAACATGTGCATGGTTGGCAAGCGTCCTAAACTCTATGCCACCGACTCATTGTTGTTCTTGCTTTATTTAAATTCATCAAGGGGAATAATTGCATGAGTTCTACTAGAGGGACGGATCCTGTGGTACCTGGTTATTGAGAGTGGAAGACATGAAAAGATTAGCTGTCTTTGATGATAGGTGCCTGCGTTCTATCTGCCATGTGAAGTGGCATAATAGGGTGAGCAAGATTAAGGTTAAGCTTTCGTCGAGTTCTAGGTAAGGAGGGGAAATCAATCGACGAGGCTGTGAAATTACATCGACTGAGATGGTTAGGACTAGCCTAGTCATCGCCTTTCTCGGCGGGCAATATTAGCTGACACAGGGTCAGGCTGGAAAAGAGCTAGCGGCGGTCAAACCAAAACATGACTACATCATCAACGAAATCCACAACAGTTAGTTTGAGCCAACCACGTAGGAAAGTGTGAATTTCCTGACTGGTTAGGGTCCTCGGGATGGTAAAAACCAATGGCTGGAGAAAATTGGTGGTATGGCTCAAAATCATTCTCAGTGATGGCTGGCAAAGATGCATCCATTCCCTTTGACCCATAATACTCAATAAAACTATATTTTTCTTCGATATCACTATTCATTTTACCTCATATCTCTGTTTACTGTCTCTATTTTGCATTTCTTTTTACTTTCTTCCCTGGCTTCTTTGTGCGATACAAAGAGGGAGTGTGGTGACTCGAACTTCTGTACATCGGTGCAAAGTTCTTTGTTGAAAACAGACAGAAAAAGGGACAGATGAACAACGTGTGAAAACACTCAACGGTCTCCTCAGTGTTTCCCTCTAATCAATCCATCTTTGTTACCTTTAAGCATATTTGTTGGGCAATTGGTTCTTGGTTGTCTGGTTAGTTGCAAGATAGTATTTCTTGGTTTTTTGAAGACTTCGAAGAAGTCGTGACCAGTGTGGTGCAGCCGGTCGGGTGTGAGGACAAATACTCACCGAAGACATTGGCTAGGGATCGTGCTATGTCGTGAATTGGCAGAAGTTAGAATTCATGGGCCATTGGATCGGGTCCCAGTGACTTAATGGCATACGAGCTCGCCTTGTGGCCAGAAGGTACTGGGTTCGAGTCCCGATGGGTGCGTACTACTGAAGAGTCCCAAACTAGGACGAAACAGCTGTCCAGTATTCCCGGCTGGTTTTCCAATGGTTCTCTAACCAATGTCAGCTCATGATGAAATCCTGTAAATTTATTTATCCTTACTGTGATTGTTCACGCATTGTTTTTTAAAAAAAATAGTTTATTTTTCTTTTCTAGTTTTATCAATATTTATCGGAGAAATTAGGCATATCAGATGAAATGATGATGCTTGGTGTATTTACAAATAAAATTTTAACTAATTTAAAATATTGGAGTAATTGTGAAGCTGTCCTACAAAGAACACTGAACTTATTATCAGAATTATCAATGGGTTTTAGTGCTATGCGTAAACTTCTACGCTTAGATGATATCCAATTTATGCTTGTTAATCATACAGTAAGTTTTAAAATGAATGATTCAATCCATTTTTATTGTTTTCTTTTGCTTTATTTTAAATTAAGAAAGTAAAGGCGGTTTTTATGAATTTAATGCCTTTTGTGTATGATTTCATTTTTTTATCGTGTAAAAATATGTTGTGTACTACTCGTTGTGTTTAAATGTTTCACGTATAGCTTATCCATATAGTTCAAGCTATATATGTCCAATTAGAGCATACAAAAGAAGAATGTAGCGACGAAGTCGTCAACTAGGTGGTACATTCATAAATATATATATAACATTAGGGTAGAACAATTCCAAAAGTATTTCTGGCTATGTGTCAGAATATTGCTCTTTACAAAATAAATCAGTATAGATGAGGCTGTGAAGTTACATCAACTAAGATGGTTAGGACATGTATTACGAATGTCTAGCCCATCACCTTCCTCGACGGGCAATGTTAACTGAAATAGAATTTAATTGGTGTATGATGACTAGCAGTGGAATCCAGGATAACGCACATTTCGTCCTATTTGGGACTCGTCAGCTAACTGGATGTACCTGCATTCCCCAGTGAGTGATGATGTTCCCACCACGGAGGCTCGAACCAATGACTATAGTTTCAAACGCCAAAGCGTTATCCTTTAGACCATTTGGGCCACTGCTAGTCACCATACACCGATTAAATTCTAATTACATGCCTAGACATCGTCGAAGCATCTGCATAATAAGCCGACATGTCAACCTGAGGCAGAGCACTGCGGTTCAATCACTTGACGTGAAAATCTAAAATTCAATGAAATACGATTGATCAGGTTGGAAAAGAACAAGTGGTGATCAAAGCAAAACATTGCTTCATCAGTCAATGAAATCCACGACAGTTAGCTAAAACTAGTCGAGTAGGCAGGTGTAGACTTTCTGACTGGTTGGGGTCTGCGGGACGGTGAAAACCAATAGCTGGAGACAATTGATGATATGGACCAAGATCGTTCTCAGTGACACCTGGCGCAGATGCATCCACTCCTTGTGATTGATAATTTCCAGTAAAACTATATTGTTCTCCCATATTACTATTCTTTTTGCCTCATGTCTCTATTTTGAATATCCTTTTACTTTATCTTGCTTTGTGTGCTACAAAGAGGGAGTGTGGCAACTCAAACTGCTGTACATCGGTGCAAAGTCTACGTTGGAACCAGTCAGTCAGTCAGTATTACAACAAAAGTTACATGACACAAATGGGGCTGAGTTTTATAGCAGAACACGTTGTGAATTCTGGGAGTTTTATTGCGTTTTGTTATCTAGCCAACGAGCACGGAGTGTGAACACACACCAGTGGTCTTGAATGCCTATACTCGTAAAATCACAAGTTCTGCTATTATGACAGCGCCAGTATGTATGCTGTGCACGAATTGGAGTGCAAATTTTATCCCCATCCCGTTTTTTAAGTACTGTTTGGATAATGAGTTGATAGCATATTAGAGTTAAGACAAGGATTAGGGAGATTCAATATCATTATTCGGTATTTTTCTTGTAGTTGAATAAACGAGAGTATAGAGGGTCATGTCGAGGAAACAGTTTTGATAGGTGTGAAATCTGAAAACTGATACCCCATATTTCATTTGAGGAATATTTTTGACCTACATCAGGGTAAAATATCGTCTGCAATATGTTTCATTATTATTATCATGTGTATTTTTCTAGAAAATACCTAGCTTTCTCTGATTGGTCACCCCAAGGTCATTGGTGCGTTGGCTCCCTATGGCCTCTGTTATTTATGCTTTCCTGTTGTATATTCACGAGTGTATAGCCTAATGACTGACTTTGTTGGAAAAAAAGCCAGCATCTGTTATGTGCTTCTTCAGTTGAAGATATCTTTAGGTAAATTCTGAGGAGTTGGGGATTCCTGGTTCGTGAAATTAGATGTTACACTATTATACTAATGTCTCGGGTAATACAAATGATTGTACAAATCATTTGTGAAATGAACGAATGAGTAGTTAATGTGGCAGAATAATTCTTATGTGTTAAAAAAGCAAGAATTCTTCTCTAGTTTACATCAACTACATGCGGTGGAAGTTCAACAGTATTCCACTAGTCCTTTTTGTGATAGATAATGTGTTTATAAATTCATCGACGGATCTACTTGATTGTCGATGAGATTCAGCTACCTTCAGAAGACAACAGCTAAACGAATCAGTGCACTAGCGGAATTGTTGAAACAAGTACTCTGGCTTCGATTTGTTAGCTTCAAAGTCAGTCCATTTCAAATTATGTTACATAAATAAGAAAAGCCTATATTTGTATACAATTGGTGGATGGTGGCTAGCAGTGGAATCCAGGATGCGCATTTCGTCCTATTTGGGACTCGTCAGCTGGACGTACCTGCATTTCTCAGTGAGTGATGATGTTCCCACCGAAGCTCGAACCCAGTGCCCATAGTTTCAAACGCCAAAGCGTCAACCTGAGACCGAGCACTTCGGTCCAATCAATCGACGGGAAAATCAAAAATTCAATTCAATAAAAGCCTATATTGTTTGTTAATGTCACCAACATCCGTAGAACTGCTAGTATACACCAATCATCCAACAAAACGCAAGCACTGAATGCAGTCAAGCTACTGAAAGCCTGTCGGGAGGTAGCCGGGCTAGACGGAACTCTTGTGTGGAAGCACTGAACATGGGTCCGGAGACTGCAGCTGATATCCTCATGCCAATATTAGAGAACGTTTGGAAGGAAGGAAGGCAAGTTGCCTACTGGTTAGAAGAAAGGCTACCTTGTGAAACTACCAAAGAGTGGTGATTCTAGCCCTTGGAAACAGACAGGAATACGTTGGACCAATAAGAAGTCTCTAGTAGATGAGATGTTCGTGGATGGTTTATCTCTAGTGTGCGACAAACTTGAAGATCTACAGCTTTAAAGCAACAATCTTGGCAGAAGAGTCAGGCAACGAAGACACACCTTGAATTAAACATAGATAAGACAAAATTAACAACACTAAGTGCTAATCACAATCAATAGGAGGAATTTGAAGCAGGTCACTTCTTTCACTTAGTATCTAAGTATCGTCCTTTCAATTATAGGTAATAGCATGATTGAGGATATCAAAGCCAGCTAGGATCGGAAAAGCAAGACAGACATCCATTAATCCGATATCAGTGGGATCAGATCTACTGTACTCAGCATAAGAAACAAGACTCAGATGTTCAACACTAATGTCAAGTCAGTCCCTCTTTATATAGTTGATAGACTTGGCATGTCATGTCACGAAAAGCATTTCGAACAGACTTTATACTTTTACGAAGAACTGCCTTCGCTACCTCTATACTGCTGCAGATCAAGTGGTCTGTCAGAGAAAGTCAGCAATAAGGAATTGTGACAAGTGAGTTAGCCAACCAATACCCTATTGTCCGAAATACATGTCGATGAAGATAGAGGCGGATTGGACACAGGCTGAATAACATGCGGCGACAGACATGACCTCGAGCGAAACCCAAGTGGGAAAGAACGAGTTGGGCGTGTGTCCTCCTTCTGTACCTGACATGGAGATATGGTGTGATAAGGGGAGTCATGGAGCCATCTAAAGAAGACTGCATAGAACAGGATAAAATAGAGGTGTGTTATTGAAGCCCTATGCTCTACTCGCAACCTAGGGGAATAATAATATGGTATTTGCTGAATGTATTGCTTAGTGATGATCGCATTACCAGTATCACTCACCACTGAAATCCTGGGTTTCAAGGGTATTCCCAACTGCCAGTAATTAAGCTGGTGGTTAATTATTTTCCCATAAAAAAGAAATAACTTTAAAATTGATTACAGCTGACACACATGAAACTCCACTCTACTTATTCATTTATTTGTTGTTGTGTTTTTTTTTCATTTAATAGCCGGAATATTTTCCTTTCCTGTTGTCAACAACCAATACTGCAATACCACAATCATCAACAATTTCACGTTTACGAACAACATTCTATGCATCATTATCTCGACTGTTGATGGTTGATTTAGGTGAAGATGAAGAACAATTTTTAAATTTCGTATCTCCGTTAACAAGAGTTACCAATCAATTGATTATAGCTTTACTATCTGGTGGTAAGTAAAAAAAATAAGTGTATATCACAACCTTTTTTTCTGCTCTCTTCTCTTCCCCTCACCCCTGCCCCCATATACTGATTTCAGCAACTCAGGGACTGATTTGTTACCTGGGTGTGTTATCTCGTTGACTTAGAATATGCGGATGATATAGTCCTTCTAGGTGAAGACAAAATGTCTGGCATGCGATTGGCACCCTCCTGTCAGATGTAAAATGACGCTACAGGACCGAATTGGACTACATCGACTCACTCCTAGCTTAAAGATAGGCAAGAGTGAAGTGGCTGGTGGAGCGTGTTGACCACTTCAATTATTTGGGAAGTTGCTCCAGACCCAAAGCAGCAGGTTGGTTGCTGACGAAATCCCAGCAGGTATACAGAAGGCTCGTTTGGCATTTTTCAACTTACTGTGCTTCTGGTGTAGTAGACGTGATATGCAGCTGGTTGTCGACTAAAGGACGTGTGTACTGCTCAGCAGTCCCCTCCTTCCTCCTTTATGGCTGCCAGTGGGACATGGTTATTGAAAGGGGAAGATATGAAAAGGCTAGCTATTCTTTGATCATAGGTGTCCGCGCTGTTTCTCCCGTGTTAGGTGGTGTAATAGGATGAGCAGTATTGAGGTAGGGCATCGGTTGAGTGTGAGGTGAGATGAGGAAATCAATCGACGAGGTTATAAATTTACATCGATTGAAACGGTTAGTATATGCCGTTACTCATGCTTACCTAGTCATTACTTTCCTCGACGAGTGATATTAACTGACATTGGATGGATCAAGTTGGAAAAGAGCTCGTGGTGGCCAAAGAGTGAATGTATCTACTCTACTGAGGACAGTTTGGGTCCATATGATCAATAGTCTCCAACTGTTGGTTCTTAGCATCTTGAGGACTTCGACTAGGCAGTATACACCTTCATACGTTGGTGGTTGGCTCAAAGCAACAGTCTCAGTCTTCATGGATTGATTGCAGGCTTTTGTTTGACCACTGCTAACTCTTTTCCAGTCTAATCGTTTGTCAACTAACACTGTCCGTCTAGGAAGGTGGTTGCTTCACAACGTTGGTTGACATACCCTCCTTATCTAACACTGTACACCTAAACTCAATATCACTCATCTTCTAATGCCACTTAACATGAAAGACAGAACGCAAACATCTGTGGTCAAACACAACTAGTGTTATCATATATTTCCCTTTCAATGAGCAAGTCTTACTCACATCTATGTATGAGAATGGAACGAACTGCTGCTCAGTACACGCGTCGTTCGATCGACAACTACCTATCATATCGCCGTTGGAAAACCTTAAAATACCGAAAATCTTTTTCGTCCTGGTTTCAGACTCTCCATCAGTACACACCTGCTGGTAAAAGCAAAGTTACTGTGCTGTAACATTGGCTGGCAGTTGTGGTATGTTTATCGCAAATAGGCAGAAGTTGGAATTCATGGGTCGTTGGTTCGGTGTCCCAGTGGCTGGATAGTCTACGAACTCTCCTTGTAACCGAAACGTCCTGCATTCAAATTAGTGTGAGTGCATACTGTTGATGAGTACCAAACTAGAACGGAGTAGTTGTGCACACTACTCCTTGGTAATTAAAGATACATCTAGGGTTTTACTTCATGATGCACTTTTTCTGCCTCAAACTATAGTAATAATAACAGATATACTGCAGTAAGCGCCGACTGAATAAAAAAAACCATTCTAAATGGAGTCTGATACATAGCTGTGATGTAATATACGAAGTATGTTCAAATATCGTCCTTGTAAAAGCCTTACGGCGAGTCCATAACATTCTAAATCGCTTTCGTGACGGATACTTTACGTCTTGGTGTGATCTTCACGTCATGGTTTACAAATACGCATCAATCGTATTTATGTATGATGTAAGCGACATGAACAATTTGACTTCTGCGTATATTGATTTCTAAAGACCACTCTGTCTGTCTGTCTGTCTGTATTAGCAGACCACTAAGTGTAACTCTTCCTGCGAGGCAGGTTGACCACTGTCACTGTGTGAAACCCTCTATAACTTGCTATATACGATGAACAGAAGACAGAAATAACTTAATTACTAATGGCATCTCGCTTACATAAGTTTTATGAAGATGCCCTATAATTGTAGCTTGAAGAATGAATACCAGACTTCATTAGTTTCCATGATGATGATAGGTCGTCGACTCGCACGCATTGTCTTTATTTTCAGTCAAAATACTGAAGCCAATCTCTTACACTTTTTACTGATTCCAAGACAGCTTAATTCAGTCAGTGTTATTAAATATTTCACATCATATCATGAATTCGGCTGGCTGATCTCTGTATCAACAGTAATAACGTGGTCACGGTGACTGATGATTCTCTGTTCAGTTATCACTGCATAGTTTTCAATCAAGCGTGGTGTAATTGTCTTAAGTCTAGGCTACATGGTGTTTACAGATGAGACATTTCTAGTGAGTTACGGAAGACGAATTATTATATGGACAGTTGTGAAGGGAGTTGGAAATGATAGCTGAGAACCTAACCCAGTGGAGACCTGTCGCTAAGGTCCAACTGATAGCTGCTACCTTGAGGTATTGGTCGGGCTTTCATTACCGCACTGATCTAACAGGCTACATTACCTAGAGCGAACGTTTCCGCAGATCCTACCATGCCAAAAAGGTTGTTTGGATTGTTCATTATAATAAAGGTTTTTTTTGTTGTTTGGATTGTAGTTTGGCTAAAAGCAGTTACCTTCATAGTCTGCAATTTTCACAATATGTTAGGGGTATATGACCGAAGTCGTGCCGCTGGGAAATAGGAATGTAACCGGAGTAAGGTGTTTCCTTCAGATGGTCAGCACATGTGAACCATGCTGTCTCTTCCTCCGGAGATGGGAAGGGATAGTTAGAAAAGATTGTCTCCGAAAATTGTAGTGGTCTGTACCCGGCGATAAAACCTTAACATAGGGACGCAAAAAACACTTCAAAGAGACCGTGTATGACCAACCTCAAACAGTTGTCCCTAGGCACTGAGATCATGCAATATTAATGATCGTTTTATTTCAGGTGCTCGTAGAAGAAATCGATTCCCATGATGTGAGAAGCTGGGAAGTAATTGAAAACCAGCTGATTCTTAAACAAGTTTCTGCTTTATTCTATTCAATACACTCACTGAATGTAACCCTAATCTTGTATTTTCTTTTTGTTTTCTTACGATATCACTTTTAGATCCATCAAATTTAAGTCAAGAATTGACAAAAATTTCCATAATCGGTTTAGCCAGAGATGTACGAGGTATATCGTGCAGTTTAAATACTAAAACTTCTTATCAAATGTTAATCGATTGGATATATCCAAGTGGTTTACAATTGTTCAATCGTGCACTTGATCTATGGCCATTAGATCATAATATTAGTGTGCCTATATTTAAAACGCTGACAGAATTAGTGCATAATCGTAATGGACGTCTGTTGTATGATACAACTATACCAATTGCTTATTTATTATTCACGCATGTTAGTAAACTGTTATACAATTTTGGTAAGTTCAATTTAATCTGGTTGTTTATTATTTTCCGCATTATTTCTTCCCATATTCAGTCGTTAATTTTTTAAACATTAAAAATGAAAGGGTTATGTAACCAGTTTTTTGAAAAGTAATGGAGTAGGTGTGTTTTTAACTAGATGGTTTGATTACCAAGTCTTTATTTTCCCTCTGGATAAGACCTTTATCCCACCCACCTCCTTATTAGTCCTTTTATTAAATCGCAAACTTCATACATTACGGGCACTAAGTGATGCGTCACAGAAAATCTCGGGTACTGCCCGAACTCCCAGATCGAAGTAGGTTGTTGTCTTAAGCGAGCTCATGACTGCAGGTCTGATCCACAAGACAGAATAGAACAGTGTCAAGAGCTACGTTCCCATGGTTTCCGGTAACCAGACTAGGTTCGTATACCATTCAGTCTTTTCGGATAGTGGAGCCCACGTACACTACAGATTTTGAATTAGGGTTTTCCAGCTCCCATGAACCATTTCGGTTGTAAGTGCCAGATGTTCACATTGGCCCTTTCACATTTGTAAGGAATACCCCTCTCGGGGCGTGATAGCAGCCTCATGAATTCTCTTTTCGGAGAAACATCTCTTTCTTATGGTGACCTTCACTGTGACTCATTGGTCCTATAGGATAAGGAAAAGACACCTTGTGAGAGCGTCTTCCTGAACATCGAATATCCAAATCTTCATCAAAGGGAGTCTATCGTGGATTCAACAAACTAATAAAGAATCATCCGTTGGAATGACAAGTAAAATTATCCTATCTTGCGTGTGTTGAATGTTTCTTGCATCACTACTAGAATATCAAAACTTTTTGGAATAGTTGTCACTCACAAACTCTCTTCCATCCGTACTATATAAACTAATAGACCCAACATCCAAAGTAAACAAACCAACGTCATGAAATGTTAAAAGACATTATATTGGTTGAAGAAGGGACTTCCTCATCATCAGAAATTAAACGATTAAGAGACATGACATTTGATGATATTAGATGGTTGGAGGCAATCGGCAGGATGCTTGGGCCTAGGTTTCGTGCTAGTTGGCACTCATCAGCAAGGCGTATCTGCAACCTTGAAGGAACTCATGTCCCTTCTGAGATTTAAAGCCGCGTCACCCAGTGCTGCAGTCAGAGACGTTACCACTGACCTGACTGATAAAATTCAGTCTGCACCAAAGAAAGGACTAGAAACGTCACACTAGTTACTAATGTCCAATCAAAAGATATGACACTTATTCTTCCAAATCAATATGTAGATAACTGTGGACGTCAGTTCAACTGAGACATTCTAAAAAATCGTAGGCAGATGGAGTAACAAAGAACGCGAGACTACTCCAGCAGCTCTTGCACTCAAATCAATTTTTAAGCAGTAGACATTTTGATTTAAATTAATTTTTCAACTAACACAAATACTAAGTTACACGAATAAAAGGTTGAATATATGAGGCCAACGAGATTTTCAATATCAGTACAAGTGGATACAATCATGATAACTTCTACAAGAACTACGATCACAGTAAATATCAACAGGAGAGACAGTTCTTCTTTAAGACTGAAGATAATGTCTAGCAGGCTAGTGAAAACTTCTTGATTAAACTATCCAGCTCAAAGAACAGAAGTACACTATACATTTTACTACTTGTCACTAGCGAAAGCCTATCCTGCAGTTAAGTTAGTTCCCTAATGTAAGTGTAGAACTTGGGCCTGTGGTAGAATCTAATTTCACATAAGATAAGTGTTTTAACAAAGCTAGAACTACAGTTTTTGCAGAATAATCTGGTACCATCATTTATTTCGTTGCCTGCTCACATCAGCTGCTCACAGGCCAAAGACACTATTAAATATATCTACAGAAACAGTTTTAACATACTTGCACAGAGTTCATTTTAAACAAAAACCAATCGATCAATATATGCATACAATAATTATGTAATATTAAACACTGTTCCCAACAATAATAATCATACACCATGGAAACTTTTCAACGTTACGCATGCGGACGAAAGAGAGATGAAAATATCAAGTTATCAGGGCAGGTAAGGAAAAACTGACAACTGTTTCTTTCTGAACGCACTAATCAGATTTCAGGCGCTTTATGGAAATGGCTTCAGTAAACCTGAGGAGAATTGAACTCTTTTGTCCATTGATAATTTCGATCGATTTTGCGAAGTCCACCTCATGACCCGTGTCATGGAGATGTCTGGCGATGTCACTTTGTTCCCTTTCGACATAGGCTTTTTAGTACATGTTCAGAAAATCGTAGATATGCCCTTCTTTCTGTCCTTCCAATGTAACTGCTCCCCCAGATACATATAAATTTGTATATACAGTTGAAGTTGTTAACATGAGAAGGATATCTATCGATTTTTGATTTCACCAAAGAGCAAGTTGTTCGATAGACGGGGACGAGCTTAGCTGCAGGATAGGCTCTGGTTAGTGATGTTACTCAGCCTTCTGTTGATCATTGCTGAAATGTTTTCACTTTTATAATCAAGTTGAATGTAGACGGGCTTTTTCGTTTTACATTTGAGACTTCAGAACTGCCATACTTGTTAATGAATCTTTGAGGGTACCTATTGCTCTTCAACATCTTTTCAAGAAACACAAATTCTTCCTGTAATTTCTCTGTAGAGCATATTCTCCTCGCTTTATAGTACAGAGTCTTGGGCAAAAACTATTAAAATGTATGTATTGTCCTTTCCAAGTAAGCTTTCGATAAATTGACTTCTGAAGACTCTACCATCTTATAGGCGTCGCATAGCAATGTCGAGGATGTGGAACTTTCCGTCACTTTCATATTCCATATTAAACTCAATATTGATATGTGCGTCATTTAATAATCTGAGTAAGTGTGAAGCATGACTTTCATTGTTGCACATTAGAAAAATTTGTCATCAACATGTCGACAGTAGGAAGTTGTTTCTAATAATCACACATTGATGATGCTCTATTAACAACTGGATGACACGCAAGGTTTCGAGCATAAATTATTGCCACTCATAATCATATCAATTAAGTCACACGGTTCCACAATTCGTTTTATATGTATTTTCTCTCTGTTCTGTCTCTCCAACTTCCTCTGGTTGTTTGTTGCCAGTTTCTTATCTCCGGTATAGGCGATGCGTTGCGTCATGTCGATTGCAATTGTGCGGTGTTGAATCGGTAGACAAGGCTTCAGTGATTAACCTCTCTCTCCACGTAACCGTATTACTTTTTAGGACTCTCCCCCTGTCCCATACTATTTCTCTGTGATTGCATGCAAGTGAATACAGTGGAGTGCAATGGCTGAGTTGTTTTTTCTAGGTTATTTGACTCGACAGGGTTAATCACTATAGGTCTAGCTAAATTTTTATACTCCAATAATCTAGTTGACCCGATGTAATTGACCTCACATTCTCCATTATGGAGTTATACTCTACCACAGTGCCCTAAGTTCTATACTTATATCATCAATGACCTCACATTCATTACATGGTATCTGGTAAATTATATTATTTTTCTGATATGTATCCACATGATGTGTATCTTGTTTTTGGCAGTCTTTTATATTTTGCTATGTGTATATGGATCGATATTCCATTATAACTGACAATATGTTTTTGTCTGTCCATTAACTAAATAAGCAATGTATGACCTTTTTATCACATGACATTACAACCAATCAGAATCCAATGATAGTAAGGTAATCTTCTGCCTATCTTATTGGATCATGTATCTTAGTCATTTTCATATATGCTTTTGCACTGTACACTTTTATACACACTTTTCGTACACTACGCATCCTTTCATCACACACTTGTGTGACAGTCAATTTCCATTGTTGGGAAATACACATATCTTCGTGAATGTGGTGGTCTTCTGATTTTCCTCTTTTCGCGTCAGGACAATTAACTACTCGACGAGTACATAACATTTTCTTAATTGGATCTATTGAATCCTTAAACCAACAAAGTTTATATCTGAGAGAGTTTTTTTTCGTTGAGAACCATACGTAAGACCTTTAAGGTGAAAACGTGTGACTTAATTGATATGATTATATGTGGCAATAATTTATGCTTGAAACCTTGTCATCTAGTTGTTAATACAGCATCATCAATGTGTGTGATTATTAAAATAAACTTATCCAATATGTTAGTTCCCGTTTATCGAACAACATGCTCTTTGGTGCAATCGAAAGTTAACAGATACCCTTCTCATATTACTCCAACTGTGTATACAAATTTACATATATCTGCGGGAGCAGTTACATTGGGAGAAGAGAAGAGAAAGAAGAAGGGTCTACCTTTGATTTTCTGAACATGTACCAAAAAGCCTATCTGTGTCTAAAGGGAACAAATGCTCTCAACAGTACCATCACCAGGCATCTCCTTGACATGGATGATCATGAAGTGGACGTCGCGAGGTCGTTCAAAATTATCAATAGGCAAGAGAGCTTAATTCTCCTCATGTTTGCCGAAGCAATATACATCTAGCGCCTGAAACCTGATTTGTGCGTTCACGAAGAAAAACTTATCAGTCTTTCCTTACCTGCCCTGGTAACTGTCTCTCTCTCTCTCTTGTGATTACGCAATATCGAAAATTTTCGTTGTGTATCATTATTATTGTTTGGTATCAATTGATTATTACTATTATTATTATTATTTGGGAAGTACCATCAGCCAACGCCAACGGGTTGATCTCTGACGAAATCTCACCACGGATACAGAGGACTAGTTTCGCATATGCCAGTTTACGCCGCCTCTGGTTTAGTAGACGCGATATCCGGCTGGCGGTCGACCAAAGAGCGGGTGTACTGCTCATCAGTCCGCTCCGTCCTCCTTTATGGCTGTGAGACCTGGTCATTGAGAGTGGGAGACATGAAAAGCCTAGCTAGCTGTCTCTGATCATAGGTGCCTGCGTTCTATCTCCCGTGTGAAGTGGTATAATTAGGTGGGCAGTATTGAGGTTAGGCTTCGGTCGAGTTCTGGGTAAGGAGGGAGGGGAAA